ATAAACCTTTGGAATGTCTGTGCGGCGTTCCTGAGTCCGAATGGCATATATTTATATTCGAATAGTCCAAACGGTGTTGTGATTGCAGTTTTTGGCACATCTTGTGGATTCATCGGTATCTGATTATACGCCTTCACCAAATCAAGTGTACTGAATACTTGTTTTTGATGCAGCGTCTGCGCGAAATCTTCGATGTGTGGAATGGGATATCGGTCCGGAACAGTTCTTGCGTTTAGCCTTCTGTAATCGCCGCATGGTCTCCATGCGCCTCCCTTCTTTGGTACCATGTGTAAGGGAGTTGCCCACGGGCTTTTTGATGGCTGTATAATCCCTTCTTGCAACAGTAGATCGAATTCTGCTTTTGCTGCTTTCAATCGATCTGCCGCTAATCTTCGTGGTCTGCTTGCTTCGGGTTGACCCTGCGTAGTCTTGATGTAATGCCTGGTCTCGTGTTGACATGGCTTCCGTTCCGAAGAGGATTGTGTGATCTCCGGAAACTCTGCCAGAATGCGATGATATTCCGTTTCTTCGCCCACTGTTTTGATTGATGCGATGTGCTGTCCGCCTGATGTTCCTGATGCCGTTAATCCTGTTTTTCCGTCCACGATCCTCTTGTTCCGTATATCGGGTAGTAAGTGATAATATGATAGGAAGTCTGACCCTATGATTGGTTGCGATATTTTGGCTACTATAAAACGCCATGGGAATGCGCGTTGTAGTCCAAAATCAGGTTGCAACGTAACGTGTCCGTACGTTGAGATTGCTGATCCATTAGCAGCATATAACGTGTACGTCTCTGGTCGTTTCCTGCTTATCATTGTGTGCGGCAGCACACTTACATCTGACCCGGTGTCGATGAGGTATCGTGTTTAGTTTTCCTGTCTGTCATGTACAGGCGGCACGGTCCTGGGCCGCTGTCATTGGCCGCCATCAATGACTCGCCTCCTCGTTTTTTGCTTTGAATGTGCACGGCTTGGTGCACTTCCTTGCTTCATCCTTGAAACGCCTGTGGTAGAAGCATACGCCGTCCGATGCTGGCGATTTGCTCCTCCACCGTGATCTGTCTCTTGAAAAACTCCTCTGCCGGCTTCGAGGTCTTTGCTGATTCATATTTCTGGCCATTTTCGTTACCTCTGTTGTTAGTTCTGCCACCTGCCGACTTAGTGCTGCAATCTGCAGTTCCCATGGTTTTTTGTTCTCCGCTGGTGCTTGCGTCGATGTGGCTAAAACGAATGTCTTGTGACTTAATTCGTGGATTCGATCCGCCTGTTCTGCCACGTCTTCGAGTTTGTCTTCGCTTCTTGTTGCGAGAATCGCCTGCATATTTTGCGGTAGTCTGCCGAGCCATAATGTTCTCAGTAATTCCTTGGAAACTGTGTCGCCAGCTAACGTACTTAGGTGTCGAAGAAACTGCGATAGTTTCCTGTCCCCAATTTCTTCGTGCTCCAGTAGTTGCCTGATCCGTTGGCTCTGAGAGTCTGTTAACCTTTGAATCAGTGCCTTCTTAATCGCTTGGTACTTCTCCGTGCATGGTGGCCGTGTGATTAGATCCTTGATCTCTCTTGCCTGTTTTGGCTCGATCCGGGAGAGCACAAAAGAGTATTTCGCCTCATCTTCTTTTATGTTTAGGAGTGCGAACTGTCCTTCTAGCTGCGCAAACCATAGCTCCGGTTCCTCAGCCCAGAAGTTTGGTATTCGTACTGAAATTTTATTAACGCTTCCATCTCCGTCCTCTACCACTATCGTCTTGTCTTTTGACGACATTTTTGGCTTTGGCGTTGTTCCTACGTCGGGGTCACCAGTTTGAGGCGTAGTTTGGAATGTCGGTGCAGGAGTGGTGGTCGCCGAAATGAAGAGACGTTTCTTTCCTTTCTACTATTTACAATTTATTCTGTTACTAACGTATTTACAGATATGTATACCAGTGATCTTGTGTGTTAACGTTTTTTTGTGTGGCCCTAAAAAGGGCCGGTGGCTCGCCGCGGTCTTAGGCCGGAGATTTACGCGGGCCCCACGCTATGCTTGGCTGTGTGCGTGTGAAACTCCACGGCTGTTCCCTGTGAGGAGTCTGAGTGGCCTTATCGTAGGCGTAGACCTCTGCCGTCTGTGCCGCTGTTGACCGTTGTTCGGATGTCTGCCCGGTCTGCGTCGCCTCGTCGGTGGTGCTAGGCGGCCTCGTAGGCAACGTTTGGACGAGGGCTGGTACAGCCAGGGCCTGCAGGATGGCTTCCGGTGTCGGGCGCTCCTTAGTCTTACGAGGTGCTCTTGTCGGCCGACGGCGCGGGTCTGTTGCTGTAGGTCCGACGTCAACTGCTATCAATCTCCACTTGTCTGCAGGGTTTGCTGCTGTTGGCGGTGGATTGGTCGTGGAGTGGCCGCGCTTCGGCGTTGCTATCCTGCGGGGCCTGGTAGCGACCCTTACGGCGGCCTGGGCGGTGCCGGTACCCGTTGTAGCGGTAGGCGGCAGCTTGGCGGTTGTTCGTTTAGCTCTTTCTCAAAAAGATCTAGTTGCTCTGGTCGAGTGCGAACGCGTACTGCGACGTGAGAACCGTGTCTGCCTGTGGCTCGGATTTTTGGGCCTATTTATACCCTGCTGGGCCGTTTCTTCATCACGAGAAACTCGGCCCTCTAGCGGTGTGTCGCTGAAAATGGCACTCGCGGCTGGCGCGTGATCGC